CAAGTACTATCATTGTTGTCTAGACAATTTGGAATGCTTCTACACGTATAGAAAGAATTTTGACAGAATATATACAGACAGCTCACAGTTCTCGGACCCACACACTTTTTTGGCATTTTTTATACAACATGGGGCCCACATACTTGTCTCTATTCTGGTGGAATTCTATGAAAAAAATTCTATACGGCTCAATTGCAAGAGCGCATAATTACTGAGATGGCGGTGGAATAATACCTTCCCATCTACCTATTGGCGTTTGGCGTTCCTGCTACTCCGTTGGGCGTGAGTAACCTGAAAAATGAAGGCAGGGCTTTCTCCAACGTTTTATCTCCGGCGTGATAATCAGTGAATGATACTAAGAAGTATGAAGATGAATTTAGATGGCTAGGAAAAATGCTATCGTCCATACCTGTGTCGACCTCGAGGGTATTTATAGGCGCCGGAAGCCGAGTGGTAATGGTGCCACGTGTCCCACGTTGGCCTCCCCACCATCCCCACGTTCTGAGTGGGGGATCTTAACTTCCCGTTCGGAGGTTGAGTCTGAGGTAACCTTCATGTATCATTGTCAATTCATCCTAGATTTTGTGGCTAAGTATTAAGATGGCCCTATAAACAATTTCACGTCGATCGATGATCTTACGTAGAGGTAGAGTGCCCCCCAGAGGGGTCGACGGTCTCGCGTAGAGGTAGAGCGCCCCAGGGGGTCGACGGTCTAGCACAGAGGTAGAGCCTCCCTGGAGGGAGGCGACGGCCTCTCGTAGAGATAGAGCACCTGGGGGGTAGGTAGTCTCGTGTGGAGATATAACGTCCCGGGAGGTCGACGACTTCGTATTGGCGTGCAATGATTTACATTGCTTATCTTCGGAGGTGGTTTCCTATGTTAACTGATATCATTAGCCCCCTACTCCCTGTCAATATTTTGTCGACAGAGGAGTAACAACTTCCTTTAGCTGGATTTTTTTTATATAAATAAAATTAGCTATTTCACTGTACATTTGGCACCCAACCAATGGATATAGTCTTTGAGGGAATTCCCCGCCCCCCCTCCCCCCCAAATTTGAATCCCTTTTGCCTATAAAAAGGGGGTAGTCTCTTATTTTAAATCATTTCCACTCATCCTCAACATCCTAGATTTTCTCCTCCTCAAGGTAACATTCTCCTCCTTCATTCCAAGATTTTTACTTAGAGTTTTTGCTTTTCCCCTCTTCTTTTTTTTTTTTTTTTTTTTTTAAATGTATAAGACTATCATCACCTCCTCCAACGAGAATGGCAATGCTGAATGTAATGAGTCGACCGAACCTCGCGGCTGGTCGGAAGGCGGGCCGGCCTTCGGCCTCCTCCCTAGCCGATTGTTCTTCTGACTCCTTGGATAGGCTGCCTAGCGAATCCCCTCTTCATCCAATAGATCCATTCGTAATTCCGATGATGGGACTTCCTCAAATGTTTATTTCTAATTCTCCCAAGAGGCATATTGGCTCTACCAAGCTTCCTAATCAAAACTTAGAAATCGGGTGAAATCCAGCTGGTGAGATTGTCCCTCTCAAGGTTCCAAAAGGTTATAGCCTTTACAATTCCCCACTCAAATTAGAGAAATGTCTTGCTAGGTATGACCGGGCTGATAACTATGTCTATAGAGCCCCCGGTCCCAAAGATAGGCGTCCGACCCCCGCGAGATAGCGGTGTATAAGGATATCATGGATGGCGGTTTTCGGCTACCCATTCATCCTTTCTTTGTGTCGATTTTTAATGAGTTTCATCTTACTCCTAGTCAAATAAACCTCAATGCTTAGAGAAAAGCATTGTACTTTTTGTATGTTTGCCTTAGGAGGAGAATTCCACCTTCCATAGACCTCTTTAGGTGTGTCTTTGAGATGCATGAACTAGTTCAGTGCAATGCGTTTGTCTTTTTTACACTAGGGTTCCTTTCCTATTTCCTAGGTTCAGGAATTCGAATAGCAGTTGGAAATCTTGGTTTTTCTTCGCCCGGCCTTCGATAGGTCGGTTTCTTTTCAATACCAATTAGTGGCATCCTCAAATTCGCCTTTTCAATAGTCAAGTAAAAGCTTCCTCTACTCTAAAAGCTCAAATCCAACAGTTGGTTGATATACCCCATCTCGCACCTGACTTAGGATCGATCCTGACCATGAGAAACATTTTGATAGTGGAGATGAGTCGTCCTACTGGTAGGTTGCTTCCGCTGGTTCTTATTATTTTTGACTTGCTCATATTTCTTATTTGTTGCTTTTTAGGACTAATCAATTTGGGCATGTGCATATAGATATGGACTTCGATCTAAACGAGGTATTGAAGACCCTGCTGGGAAGTGACGAGGGCCTCGCTCCCATTGACGATAAACTCTTGAGCATCCCTCCTTTGTTTTATGTTTTTATACTCTTTTGTTTTGCGAGCCTGACGGGCCTTACCTTGCATGTCCAGGGATGGAATTTAACCTGGAGAAGACTATGGACTCTATGCCTGAACAAGAGCATAGAAGTGATATTGAGCTATCCCCCATCCCCTTAAAGAGGAAGAAGACAGCTGACCAAGGGAGAAGGTCTCAAGTAGCGAAAGAGACTCCCCAGCCCTCAGACGAGCCTATCAAGGTTGCTCCTGTTCCTAGGACGAGTTCTTCCAGTCACACGCGAGGGGAGCGTAAGGATTCACTTCCTAATTTCGGGATTCCTCCCACCCGGGGTTATCATGAGATGGGGGTCCTTAAATCTTTGGTGACACCCATGCGGGTCAGGGCGATTGCAGGATGTAGCGCAGATGACATCGAGAGGGTTGCGACAGTCTATTTCCAAAGGGTATGCTTCTAATTCTATATCTCTTTTACGCTGAGTCTTATTTTTTGAGCATGGTTTTACCACTCGACTCTCACATTGTCTCTTTATCCTTTAGGTGGTGGCCCTTTAGATCGGGCTTGCTGAATCGAGTCGTCGCTAGGCCTTAGAGTTGAAGACTCTTGCAGAAGAGAAGAAGAAAGAGGCTCATCATTACAAGAAGAAAATATCTTCCCTGAAGAAATCTTTAGAGGCATTGGAGGCTCGAGCCCGCGAGCAGGAGATAGAGAATGAAAATTTGCGATCTGTATTGGCTCGTGCTCCAGAGGAGGCAGTCGAGAGGTATAAGGCCTCTGCTGAGTATACTAGGGACTTAGGGGCATCTGTAGAGCAGTACAAGTCATCGTCTGATCATGCCAGGGCCTTGCATTCGTACGAGGGGAAGGCGATGGCGGCGTCCATCAAACTGATCAAGGAGTGGATATCGACCGAGCACCTTTCTATTAACCCCTAAGGTTTTGATAAATTCCTTGCGCAACACAAGGGGAAGGAGAGTGGGGCGCAACCAGCTAGGTCACTTGGTCATTCGTCGCAGGGCGGCAGTGGTGGTGCTTTCCCTTCGAGTTGAAGCATGACTTAGTAGTAGCACCTTTTGTTAGTTCCCTCTTTTTTGTTTCACCTTTTATTTCCACTTGTAGCATCATTCCCTACTTGTCCGGGGTGTGGGCAAGAGTATATCACATACTTTTTGTATGAATGCTATGTTATCAGCGGTTATTAATGTTGAAACTTATTTTTTCTAGTGTTGTCTCACACATTCAGTTGTTTGATAGCATGGGTGAATGTCATTCGTCCCACGCGCCCTAGGTTTGATTATAATGGTCGATGGCCATAGCCAACATTCTGATCATTTAAAGCTTTTCGCCTAGCCACGTGGGCTAAGTTGGCCTTTGGGAGAGTAGTCTAGCGGTTAAGGGCCTTAGCCAATTTTTTGGCTTTTCAAGGCTCTCCTCCTTGCCGCGTGGGCTATGTTAACCGTTGAGAGATGGTCTAGCGGTTAAGGGCCTTAGCCAATTTTTTAGCTTTTTAAAGCTCTCCGCCAATCCGCGTGGGCTATGTCGACCACCAGGAGGTGGTTTGGCGGTTAAAGGATTTAGCCAACTTTTTGGCTTTTTAAGGCTCTCCGCCTAGCCGCGTGGGCTATATCGACCATCAAGATATGGTCTGGCCGTTAAGGGTCTTAGCCAATTTTTGGCTTTTCAAGGTTCTTTGACTAGCTGTGTGGGCTATGTCGACCGTCAGGAGGTGGCCTGACAGTTAAGGGCCTTAGTCAATTTTTTGGCTTTCAAGATTCTCCGCCTAACTGCGTAGGCTATGTCGATCGTATGTCTTCAAGGGATGAGTATGGAGATTCAAGATTGCATGTTAGCGTAAAAAATAATTGGATTCGTGAGCTCAGTAGGCGTACCGGGACGTCCAAGCTAGGCTGGCCCTTCCTTAGCGCCCTCATCATCCGTCACTACCAAGGTCTTTATTGAGCATGATAAATAACTGTAACTAAAGGCGCCTTTGTGAGGCGTTATATGGAGGGGATTAAAAACGCAACATATTCTACTGTATTTACAAGAACATAGCCTGTGCACCAATCCTGAAGTCTACTGGTAATATCTTTTGAGATGCTCTGTGTCTCATGGCCTATCTAGTGGTCTTCCTCTTATGTCTTTCAGGCTATAAGCTCCATTTCCCAGGCTGCAGATTACTTCATACGGGCCTTCACAATTTGGTCCGAGTTTTGCTAGAGGGTGCCCTACTGCTGCTGCATCCCTTAAAACGAGGTCTCCCGGTTGAAAGATTCTTGGTTTCACCCTCCGATTGAAGTATCCAGCGGCTCTTTGTTTATAGGCCATCATCTTGATCGCCACCTTCTCCCTTACCTCCTCAAGTAGGTCGAGTTCCCCTTTAGTCGCAGTGTCATTCGGCTGCTTGACGTTCATCCTTCCAGTCTCGCTTAGGATCTTAACTGGGACTACTGCTTCCATCCTAAAGGTTAGTCTGAATGGCGTTTCTCTGATCGTTTCTCGTGGAGTCGTGTGATATGCCCATAGCACGTTAGGCAGCTCATCTGCCCACAGCCCTTTCTCCTTTTCCAATCTGGTTTTCAAATTCAAGAGAATGACTCGGTTTATCACTTCGGCTTGCCCGTTTGATTGAGGGTGGGCGACCGAGGTCAGTTTATGATCGATGTGATAACTTGCACAAAAGGTCTTGAAACTATGATTATCAAACTGCATGTCGTTATTCGTTACCAATACCCTAGGTATTTCGAACCGGCACATTATATTTTTCCATACAAAGCCTTGTATCTTTCCTGTCGTGATGGTCACCAGTGATTCCGCCTCCACCCATTTAGTGAAGTAGTCGATGGCGACCAACAAAAACTTCCTCTACCTTTTGGCCATAGGCATAGGTCCTAAAATGTCCATTCCCCATTGAAAAAATGGGCACACCCCAAATATGGTTGTCTGCTGTTCGGCTGGGACATGGATCAGATTTCCATGACGCTGGCATGTGTCACATTTTCGTACCAACTCTTTGGCATCCTCTTTCATAGTTGGCCAATAGTAGCCTTGTCGCAAAATTTTGAAGGCAAGGGATGTTGCCCCATGGTGGTTACCGCAGGTCCCGGTATGTACCTCAAATAGTATCTCTTCGACTTCGGTGGGGCATATGCATTTCGGATATGGCATGGTAAAACCCTGCTTGTAGAACTGCCCATCGATGATGGTAAATGAAGCTACTAGAGCTTTCAATCTCCTCGCCTCTAGGGGGTCTTTCGACACCTTATCTTTTGCTAGATATTTGATTATCGGATCCATCCAACTTTCCTCGTGTTCAATATTCTTCACCTCAGCCCAACGCTAAATGCTGGGTTGTTGTAGGACTTGCACACTCGTTGTCTGAGGTAAGTTTTTTGGGTTGGCTGATGCGAGCTTTGCTAATGCATCTGCGCGCTCATTATCTCTTCGCGAGACCTTTGTCACCTTAAAGCTTGCGAACCCTCTTTGCAAATCCCTTACTTTCATTCGGTATGCTGCCATCCTTCCATCCTTTGCTTCGTACTCTTTCGATACCTGCCCTACTATTAGCTATGAGTCACTGCATACCTCCACTGAAGTCACTTCAAGCCTTACTGCCAAACCCAAGCCTGTGATGACTGCCTCATACTCGGCGTCATTATTGGTAGTAGGGAACTCAAAGCACATCGAGTATTCCAATTCTTCGGAGTCTGGTCCAATCATTAGGATTCCTGCTCCTGATCCCTCTGCATTCGAGGAATCGTCTATAAAGATCTTCCAATCTGCCTTCTTTCCTTCTGGGGGCTCTGTCGGGATGGTGAGCTTGGCAATGAAGTCTGCCAGAGCCTGTGCTTTGATGGCCGTCCTGGGCCTAAATTCAATGTAAAACTCACTTATTTCAATCGCCCATTTCTGTAGCCTCCCGGAGGTTTCTGGTCGATGTAGAATCTGCTTAATGGGTTGGTCAGTCATTACTTACACCGTATGGGATTGAAAGTAAGATCTAAGCTTCCTCGCTGCAACAATCAACACGAGCACCAACTGTTCGACCAGACTGTACCTTGTCTCTGCGCCTTTGAGGACCTAACTAACGTAGTAGATCGGTTTTTGTGCCTTTGGGAGTTCTTTCACAAGAACGGCGCTAACTGCCCATGGTGTTACCGCGAGGTAGAGATACAATACGTCACCTGGGCATGGGTTGGTCAGAATAGGAGGCTCCTGTAGTGACTTCTTTAGGGATTCCAGCAATTCTTCGCACTCTTGAATCCACTCGAAATTGGTGGAGCCCTATGGCTTTAAAGAAGTGGTAGCACTTATCTGCCACCCAACTCATGAAGCGATTGAGGGCCGCCACATGCCCTATCAGCCGCTGAACCCTCTTTCTTATTAGTGGGGCTCTTCATTTCCAGTATAGCTTGTATCTTGTCAGGGTTTACCTCAATTCCTCTTTGGGTGATCATGAAGCCTAGGAACTTTCCTTCGGTAGTACCGAAGACACACTTCTTTGGGTTGAACTTCAAGTTATTGTGTCGAGCCACATCAAATACTTTCTACAGACAAGCCACATGATCAATAGCCTTGACACTTTTCACTACCATGTTATCTACGTAGGCTTCTGTGACAGTTTCGATCAGCTCCGAAAGATTCTATTCACCATCCTTTGGTAGGTTGTTCCTATATTTTTTAGGCCGAACGGCATGGTCGTGTAACAATATGTCCCTAAATTTGTGATGAATGATGTCTTCTCCTGATCGAGCTCAGCCATAGAGATTTGATGGGACTCGAAAAATGCATCTAGGAAGCTAAGTCTCTCATGACCTGACATGGCGTCGACCAAGTGGTCTATCCGGGGAAGTGGGTATGAGTCCTTTGGGCATGCTTTGTTGAGCCTAGTGTAATCAACACACATGCGCCATTTTCCATTTGACTTCTTCACTAACACGATGTTGGCCAACCACTCAGGTTATTGCACCTCCAGAATAAAACCAGCTTGCAGTAGCTTTTCCACCTCCGCTTTTGCCACTTCCTGCCTTTCGGGGGCGAGGTTTCTCTTTTTCTGCTTCACTGGTTTAGCTCCGGGGAGGATGCCAAGGCGATGTTGAGCGATGGTTGGGCTGATCCCAGTAATGTCGTTCGAGCTCCATGTGAAAACATCTAGGTTATCTACCAGGCACCTTACCAACTTCCCTCTTTCATCAGATTCCAAACTGGTCCCGATGCTAAACTCTCGTCCTTCTGATACGGAGATCCTTTCAATCATGTCAAGTCGTTCGATCCACCTATTCAGAGGTTCAACTTCCAACATCATGACCGATGGTGTTCCCTTCACTGATATATTATCGACATTGTATTTTCTAGATGCTCGCTGGTCCCCTCGCACACACCCGACTCCTCTGCTGGTTGGGAATTTCATGACCTAGTGATAGGTCAAGGGGATGGCTCCAGCTACGTTCAACAATGGGCGATCGTAGATCGCATTATAGGCCATGGGAGTTTTTACAACTAAGAAGCTTGCCACAATTATCACAGCGATAGGATATGTTCCGAGCGTGACAGAAAGTTCCACAGTCCCTTCCGGAATACCGTTGTCCCTCCAAAGCCCTGTAAGGGGGTGGTTACTGTTTTCAACTTGTCAGGGGAGATCTTTAAGCCCAAAAAAGCATCCCATATAAGTACATTTGTAGCACTTCCCCCATCCACCAGCACCCTCTTGACGTCGAAATCAGCTATGTTGCCTACTATCATCAAAGCATCGTCATGGGGGTGTGCTATGCCTACCAAATCCTCATCACCAAAAGTGATGTTCTGATTAAACAAAGTTACCTTTGGATGGAACAAATCCCAAGAGAACATGCGTAGCTTTTCCTTGCCAAGTTTGAATCTCCGCCTCCTGCTATCCCCCCTGCAATCACGTTTAACACTCCCACCCTAGACCGGGGGCAGTCCTCCACCTTTTGTTTACCCCAATTTTCCTTCACATATTTGCCCAAGAGCCCTCATCTCAGGAGGCGCTCGATCTCCTTCTTCAACTACAGACACTCTTTCGTATCGTGCCCGTGATCCTTGTGGAAATGATAATATCTACCTTGGTTTTTCTTGTCGGGTGGCATTGCCATGGGCCTCGACCATTCAAGCTCCTTCATATCTCGTATCTCCATCAATAGCTTCGCGCGTGGGGTGTTTAAAGGGGTGAACGTCCTCGGCTCCTCCCATTTTTGCCTGACTTGTCGGTCTTGGATGGTTCCCTTACCCGTCTGCTCACTCTTTGGCTTATTTTTGTTAGCAGATCTCAGCTCGTCTCCCACCTTTCGCTTGTGACTTTCCATTTCCCATCCCTTTCTGAGGTGTTTTGTGACCTTCTCCCCTTCTTCGGCATCAACATACTTGTCTCTCTTTTTCAATAGGTCGTGCATTGACTTTGGGAGGTTCTTGGAAAGTGACATCTTGAAGGCCCAGTTCTGAGTTCCGTTCATCAATGCAGTCACCACTGTCGACATTTGAAGATCCTCTATTCCAAGGGTCGCTCGGCTGAATCTAGCTAGATACTCTTGCAGAGACTCGTCCTTCTCCTGGACCACCTGCATCAGCCCGATGGCCTTCTTCATCCTTCTTTTATTACTGAGGAAGTAGGCCACAAAGCTCCTGAAAAGTTCATCAAATGTTCGGATAGATCGAGAAGCAAGTGTCGCCACCTAGTCTTTGGCTTCTCTCCTGAGGGTCGGGGGGGAAGACCGACACATGACTGCATCAGGTGCTGCATAGAGTCTCATTAATCAACGAAGGTCCGGAGATTGTCAAATGGATCTGTAACCCCATCGTAAGCTTCTATCATAGGCTGCTTGAAGCCCTTAGGTAAGGGGACCGCTAGGGATGGGCGCGGGTCGGTTCGGTTCGGGTCTAAAGAAAATCGAACCAAACCAAAATTTTTGGGTATCTAGTAAATGGAACCGTCGGGTCCAAATATAATTATGGAAACGTTCGGGTTCGGCTCAGTTCGGTTCCGTTCGGTTCTATACTATAATTAAATTTTGTAACATTTATAAAAACATTATATAAATACAACTAATGATACATTCAATGATTTTGGAATGCCATAGACTAGTAGACTACCTTGTTCAAATGATCGCTATGGTCAAAGTTTCGATCGACGGAGGTCACAGCATCAGTCGACGATTGTATAGGCTTTGGAATGTCAGCGAGGCTACGAGAGTGAGTGCAAGAGTCGAGACAACGTTATGTACTTTAGTGTAGGTGTTTAGGGTTATTTAGTGCATTGGATCTTGTTGGGCTAAGAAATGAAACAATAAAATGGGTAATGGAGCAAAAAATTAAAAAATTAGAAATGAAACAAATTATTGGGCCAAAATTTTGGATTTAAAAATTGTAAATTTCTTAATTTGTTTAGAAAAAATTAAAATTAAAATAATTTGATTTACTCAATATAAAAAAAATTAGAAAAATTCGGTTCTTATTCGGTTTTTCGGTTCTTGGTCTAGAATCGAGAACCGAACCGAACCGTACCCGTCGGTTCTTAATTCAAATACCCGTTCGGGTATTTAATTTGACAAGAAAAATCGATTTGGGTTCGATTCGGTTCGGTTCAAGAGATTTGCCCAGCCCTAGGGACCACCATAATTTTAGAAGCGAATGGATCATCTTCTAAGACCATCTACCTACACTTATTCTTTCTCTTTTTATTGCATCATCTGCGTCATGATCTCCTCCATCCTCCATTCCAGACCCGCCAAAGGTGGGTTAGGCTGTAGGACTGTAACCCCTGGAGCCCCCGAGCCTGCAGTTACCCGTTGGATGACAGGCGGAGTTTCTATGTGCGTCTCTTGGGGTGGCGGCTCAACTTCCACTGAATGCGGTGGGAGGTCGGCTCCCTGCGTTTGATTCTGCAAGAGGGTTATCATAGTCGTTAGCTGGGTCTCGAGGGCACTGAATTGGCTTTGTGTCACATACTGTGGCGACGGTGGCGGGTCGAGGTCCCTAGCGACTGCTTCCAACTCCGTCTCTACCGTTGCTGCTCTCAAGCGCATGTCACTTCTTGTTTGTCTTTTTGACATGGCTTTGGTGTTCAATGGAAGAAACTTTCCACAGACGACGCCAATGAGAGATGGTGGTAGAATACTACCTTCCCGTCTACCTGGTGGCGTTTGGCGTTCCTGCTACTCCATTCCGTTGGGCATGAGTAACCTGAAAAATGAAGATGGGGCTTTCTTCCCTGTTTTACCTCCGTCGTGATAATCAGTAAATAATACAGGGAAGTATGATGATGAATTTAGATGGCTAGGAAA